CTATTTTCTACTAATACATATGAACTGGTTCCAGGATTATGTGGTTTCCTTTAATTCACTAAAGAGACTAATTTTGTCTAAGCAGTTTAATTAGACATATTTATTCGTGAAGTTTAAAGGACTTTCATGATTTTAAGAGCTGAAGTTTGATGGGCCTGTGTGTGTTTTGGGCTGAGCAGATTCCTTTTTATTTAAACGTAAAGATTAATGTAGACAAAATAAGAAAACAAACAGGAAACCATGCAAGCAAAGCATTAACCTGCTACTTTCGTGTTCTTCAGTTGAAACTGAAGACACTAAGCCTATTAATTTCAAATAAAGACAAAACCCCTAAAAAGTGTACCTTACAAATTCATGGGAATGTGTGTGTGTGGGGGGGAGGACAGAAATGGACTATTCGTGGTTCTTGGGGAAATGATAATCTTTCATCCTGAGACTGACTTTACATTTTTCAAAAGAAGTGTCACTAAGTATCTATCTTCATACTCTTGGACAGGTTTGCCATCTTGGCTTCTCTGACTTCATCTTTTTCCTTTGTTGCTACAGAAAGGGGTTAAACGTCTCAACAACTTTGCATGCCGTCCTCTGCAGGTCTCTAACACATTCATATCCTTAACCTTGTTCAGAAAACAGTCTCCTGGTCTTTAGGATATCCCATTGCAAAAAAAGAGATAGTCCTGACTTTCCCTAGGAAGGAACAGTCTATTTGTGTCAGAGCACAGCGTGAACCCAAACTTTCTACACTTCACTTTGGTTTCTTTACTGTATGGTCATGAAATAAAAACTCGTTCAAAAATATAAAGATAAATACTTAAAGAAACTTATTCTGAAGACTATGCAATTCATCTCAAGATAGAATCTCACGACACTTTCCTTAGAACCAAATTTTATGAAAAATACCCTACCCATTAGGTGTCGTCATATTGTTAAAATTTCACATTGGCTTTTTACCTGTGACCTGCCCACCCAGAGCTTCTGCTTCTATGTAATTACACAAGAGAAACAACATTTACTTCAGACGCTCTTTTCTAAATTTTTGCTCGACGGTGAAAGAGAAAAGCATGTTTTTTGTTGTTGTTGTTCTTCTAAACAGCCACTGGAGAAATCTGCATGCACTGATCCTCACGGGCTGTGATTTTCTATTAGGAAACAGAAATAAGCTGCAGAAGCTACTTACCGCATTCCAAATAGGCCACTGCTGGCTTGTGTAAGTTAGTCTTTCTTGTTTCTGTGCAAAGTTGTAGCTGAGTTACTTGGTCTGATTTTTTTTTTTCTTTTTTAAGACAATACACAATCCCAAATGTCACTTAAGTCAAGTGCAGCAGATGGGATCCAGCAAGTAGTCTACAATACCTTGAATCTGGCTACGAAAATTTAGGACAGATCTGCAGTTCTCAGTAGGTGAATGCCTTATTTGGTCTAGAGGCATTTTGCTATGTTATTGAGTCACAAAAGCTATTAAAAGAGCTCTATGAGAAATTCAGTTTGTATTTTGAACTAAACAACCTGTCTTTTTTATTATCACTGACCCCTTATAGACAAGCGGTACATAATCTTGGTTGTGCTTCATTGGTATTTATTGCACATGGACCAATTCCTCACACAGTAGTTAGTTGCACCAGAGTATAAATACTTGGTAAAACACACAAGAGGAAATAGAATTTACACTTAAGTGCTAAATTATACCAGCAGAGTCACATGGGCACTTGGACATAAAAAAATAATAAAAAATTCCTTAAGATAATTATATTTATAATATGGATACAGTTACAGTACCATGATAAAAGAGTATAAAAGGTATTTTCTCAATCAATCATTAGCTCAATAACATAATAGACAACAGAAGTAGAATTTAAATTTTATTTTAGTTTTTAAGGCCCCCCCCACTTAAAAATATTAATTTCTCTTTGTGCAAGTAACATCTTCTGTGGATTTTACAATTCCTAACACTGTGCAAAAATGGCATTTTAAACCACTCCTTTTGTGTTTGTTTTGTTTTTACCAACATGTGCAGTAATCTCAACTATTTCCTCTTTTGTTTTTCCTGTCCTGTCTTCAATTGACAGAGTCACATGTTACAGAGAAAGGCTCAGCGCCTGGTCCTTCCAACTAATATTGATACATAAATAGGCTGTTTAATATAAACAAATCTTTCTATCTTGCTGTGCAATGTGCACAGTGTGAGGTAGAAATCCCTCAGTCTGACCACCGAGGCGCTCGGGGACAGCGGGTTTGCCCTACACAAGGAAAGCAACGTGAGGCTTGTTCCAAGAAATAGCTTACCGTATCTTGAAACGTGATTTTTCTTTTTCTTTTCTTTTCTTTCTTTTTTTTTTTTTTGCATCCATCCTTCCCCCTTTGCTTTAAGAACAGAAGAAATCATTACTCAAGAATGAAAATAAAATTTCTCTGGAAAGCAAACGGAATCGTGTCCTGACAAATTGTCATTCCCCTTCCCTCTCTGGTAGACTGCTCCCGTTCCCGGGGACCGGATAAGAAAAGCCAAGTTCATAGACTTGGATCCTCTGATGCGTCTCCCTTTCCCTAAAAACCTACCCATTCAATTTCCACTCTAGTCCTCACTCTGGTCCAGGTTCCACCTGGAAAAAAAAATGAAATATGCATCACGCGCACACAAAAGAAGGCCGAAGCACAAACATGAAAGTACCCAAGAGAAATCAGTAAGCCACTCTCCCAGCCTTCCCCAAACTTTCCTTTTTGTGCAACGGTCCGTGGCTTTCTGTTTGTCTTGGATGACTCAGATGAGGTTTGCGGGCTTCAAGTTCACCTGCTTTCGGTCGTGAGTAAACACAGATCTTCTCTTTCCCCAGGAAAGGAGCTCCGGGGCTTCCCTCCTCCTGGGGCGCAGAGTCCGTGTCCGGGCCGGCGCAGGGGGCACCCGGGCGCCCTGCGCGGAGCCCTACAACCTAGATTCGGAGGAGCAGCCCGGGCGGCAGGGCTCCTCCAGGCTCGAGTCGCTGTCCGCCGCTGCCCC